CATAGCATCTAGAAAAATGAAACCATAAACAGTCTATATAAGAGACCTTAATGAATACACTCAAAGTAGTAACTTGTTCATACCTGGTGCAGAAGTCTCAAAAAGGTGGTTACAAAATTAATATTAAAAAAACTAGTTTTTGGCTATTATCTCAGTCATTTCTCATTACATTGACACGAGAATAGTTTCAGTCCATGTAACAAACAATACACTATTATGATTCCAAGACTTACTAGCTAACTCCGTTCGCCGAGTCTAGAAAAGGTGGTTACAAATAAAAATGGAGGTCTTCTAATTTTGTCATGTAAACATGAGGCCTGTTGACAAAATGAAATGAGAATATATTTATTAGGTCTACTGAACAAAACAAAAGACCTATATACCTTCTTTCACAAAAATAAGTGAGTCAAGAAAATTCTTGAAAACATAGACAGAGAGAAAAGCGCCAAGGATAGAGCTATGCTGGTTATGACGTTTACAGGTGAACTTCAAAGAGTTAATTGGATACCGACTTCCTGTTTCATATCCATGTGTGTATGTAGTATCTATGGTTTTACTGTATAAAAACTATCACAATTAACATAATATAAAACAAGTTTTTTAAGCTTTAATATCATTTTCCACACAAGAATTAATGTCAGTGAAGTCCAGATAGCCAGCCAATGGTTCAATGAGTGCATTGATTGATGATACTAAATCACTGAACACTGGCCTATCATCAGGAGACTCAGACCAACATGAAGTCATCAATGAGTAACTGTAAAAGGAAAAAAAACATAGTCTAAAATTTTCACATTAATTTCTATAATGGTGATTTCATACATTTCTTTTGAACATGCTTCATTATTTGGAGTGTACAGTCTTCCTCCAGTATCCAGTAACTCCACAACTCCTGCTGGATCTAAACCAGGATAAGGTACTCTACCAAGACTGAACACTTCCCAACACAATACACCATAAGACCACTGTAAAGAACAGAATGTAACAATCTATATAGGGCATATTATTTTTGCAATTGTACTGACCACATCAGATTTTTCAGAGAACAGTCCATCGTGAATACTCTCTAGTGCCATCCATTTCAATGGTAGTTTAACAGGTGATGATGATGAATCTTTACTGCCTTTCAGTTGTCTGAAGTAGTTTTGAGAATATATATCTTCTGATAGACCAAAATCAGCTACTTTAATGATACCATCATCATCAATCCTATGCAACGAAAAGTTAAAGTGCTATAGTTAGTGTAATATGCACTCTAAAAAATTAATAAATGACAATTTAAAATTAAAGGGACTTTGGCACAAATTTAGAATAACTTTAAAAATTTGTAAAAAATCCAAATTTGTCTGGAATTAGCTCAAACTTGCTACACAACATAAGAACATGTATGAACATTAGATAAAACATAAAAATTATAATTTTTTCTAGTCATTTTTGACAAAATTTAGCCAAATACAGGGACAAAGGCCAATTTTTGTGTAGCTTTAAAAATTGATTAAAATTCAAACTTGGTCAGAATCATCTTAAACTTGCTAACTTAATAATTTACAAAAAATTATGACTTACATGCAGTTTCTAGCAGCTAAATCACGATGAATGAATTTCTGTGAAGCTAAGTAGCACATTCCATTGCCAACTTGTAAACAAATGGAGAGTAACTGTTTCCTGACATTCAGTATAATATCTTCTTCACTGGTATCAGCTACTGTAAGATTAGGTCTCTCTTTCTTGAGGTAAGACAATAAACTTCCTCTTGACATGAAAGGCATGATAATGTATGGAGCTGGTCCAAGATCAAGACACACACCAATCAGTGGTAATACATTTAAGTTATCAAATGACATCATTATAATGCACTCATCCAGTAGAGAATCAACATCACTCTTACTGTAAAAACCTGTAATAAACAAGTTTAAGCATTATTTTAATACAGCATCTAACTCATCTGTAAATTTGATCTAAACAGTTACCTTTTAATGTCTTGACTGCAACTGGTTGTGGCATTTGATTCTCTCTTGTCATCACTCCACGATAAACTATACCAAACTCACCTTATAGTGTACAAGAATGGTTGCAATTATCATTATGATCAATCAAAACTTTAATGTACCTTGTCCAGCAGTCTCCTGCACATTAATGCTTGAGCCTGATATTATATACTTTGACAACTGATTCGTGTAATCAGATGATATCTCAAAAGTTTTGTCGGAGAAGTAGATATTTTCTTTGTTGCTTTTCAAAACTACAAATTGTTTATGATGCATTACATAAAAGTAAATTGTAGATAGTAGTAAAGTAAAGTGTCAAAAATATTTGTCAGTTGACTTACGTAGTGAACAATTAGTTTTAAGGGAAAACTCTTTATTCATAAGTTGTTTACGATTCCTTGCCTTTTTAATGCAACAAGCAACAGATAATACTATTGCCAACACTACCAGCAACAGTAATGAAGTGCTGATCATTCCTGGTATTAAGGCAGATGTTAGCTGATTTGAGGCAGATGGTGTGCCACTGGCAGGAATCAGAGGTATGGATCTAGTTGTTTGAATAGTTGTGGAATGTGGGACAGGTGTAGTGGATGTATTAATCACTAGAAGTAATAAAATGCACATATGAAATTAATAATTACTCTAGAGATACAGTTACAATACTACAAATACTCATGTTGATTATTTAGTTTGTATAATAGTCTAATAGTTTACCTTTTGCTGCTGTTTTAGTTAGTTGAGGTACTTTAATGCCCCCATCAGAACAACAGTCACTAGTGAGGTTCAAGTAATCAATCAATTTAGCTGTATTATTACAAACTGGTAACTTGATTCCTTCATCATATCTATAACCTGGTGCAACTTGATTCAAATCAAGAAATTTCACAACAAATGACCAGATATCGGGGCACAATGTTTCTGACATGTATGAGCAGACATTAGAGCAAATAGGTAAAGGAACATGCAGTGTGCCATTAAAACCACAAGGCAAGTAATAATGAACACACATTATTTTAATGGCAAGATCTCGGCAGTGTTCTGGTATTTGGAATATTAATGCATTTGCCTGTAAAGCAAATTGTCTCAAATCTTGCTGAGAGCCTCCAAGACGTTTATAAGGAATGTAAACATAATCAATATCAGGATCATATAAATGGTCACAGATAGAAGTGGAAGATTTGTCTTTGTAATAAGCTTCACAGATCCCATTTGCACTACAATAAACACAAACAATATTATGTATGTCAATATTATGTTTTACAGTTGATTATATCATAATTATCATAGTAGGCTAAATTTTGTAACCAACTCTTATTGGGAAGTATCTATAGCTATTTATCTTCAAGAGCCTTACCTCATTGCAGACCATAACTGATCATCCAATTCCGTATTGCAGAGGGCATTATCTTTTGTAAACAATTGTAATATCTAACAGCTATTACTACCAAGCAAACACTATACCTGTTTTAAAGCATTGCACACTGACACCATTAGAACGACTACAATTATGAGATGATCCAATGGTTGAATGATTGCACTGCAGTATGTTATCTTCTAATCCCAAACAAACAACATCATCCAAAAATATTGACCTGTTTTCAGTATCATAATACTTTTCACTGAAATATTGAGCACCTATATCGTAAAGTGTCAAATCAGGCATACATAAGTATCCTACCAATAGTAGAGTATCCTAGTTGCCTGCAGACCACCTCAGCATTAGTGTGAGTCCAATCATCATCACACACAGTGCCCCATTCATTGTTAATACAAATCTCCAATCTTCCTATATTAGTCCTATTTCCATTCACTAATCGTAGGTCACCAAGCATACAACCTGTATAATAAAGAAAAGAAGCTGTCAGATTTTGCTCTAAGTAGTTTACACCTTATAGATTAGTCTCGTTATAGATCTATAGCTTACCATGAGCAAGTAGTGAATTCCAAGTGAAAATAGATAAAAGCAGAAGAAACATAGTAGTAGGTCAAGCAGTACTAGTAGCTCTAGCTTACAGCTGCGCTGCGCTGCTAATCCAATGACCACACCTCTAGATGTTATTAGGATGGATAGGATATTAGGATGGATAGGATATTAGCTCGAGACTAGTGATGTTGGGCATCAATCGATTAAAGTATAAACAGGGGGAGCAGGGAGTGCACAATAAATTTGGAAAGGAGTTGTAATTAGACTCATAAAACTATTGAGGATGAAGCAACTGTTACAAGCTCAAACAAAGTTTTCTGTTCAGAATGTAGATTGACAAAAACATTAGTTTCACCTTGGATACTAATACTATCCATGGTTTCACAAGTAGCAGGGTAAGACTACAAAAACATCAGCTTTGAATTTATCAACAATTGTTGAATTTATCAACAATTGGTAATTGTTGATAAATTCAAAGGGAGTGTTTTTGTCAGTCGGCAAACTGGTAGTTATTCATTATCACACACATACGCAACTGTGGCATGAGTTTTGCTCCCCTAACCGGGCCAAATCCACTAATGAAAAAATTAGTTAATGTATCTTTGGTTGTACTAGACAAATAGCACATGTTTCATACTGCACTGTTTTAAATGATGAGAATTTTGCATAAACTAAAGATTAATGATGGCCATTGACAGCATCAATCAGTGATAACAACATTTACCATCATGCTGTAAAGAGAGAGATATTCAATTGGTATAAGTGTATATAGAATTTCAGTGAACATCAAAGATGCATAATACAGCGTAACAGGCTTCCAAGAGAATTTAAAGCTTGCTAAAAATGTTGTAGGAGTATATACGATCACAGCAAAACTATAGCAGTGCTAGACAAAAGTAAACTTCTTGGGGATGCACAAGTAAAAACATTCAAAACAACACTAAAATGTGTAAATACCAAAGCTACAGGCATAGCTTATAACGTATATGCTCAATATTGAATGCAGCTTTTATAGATAATCTGGAACTTGGCTCAAACTATAAATTAATTTAAATTTCTTTCTGTATAATAATATAAAACAATGGTAAAACACACACATCCAATGGTACACACACAAACAATGGTACAAAGACATAAGCACACATCAAATTGGTAACACACACATATTACGCTTTGATATCATTTTCCACACAAGAATTAATGTCAGTGAAGTCCAGATAGCCAGCCAATGGTTCAATGAGTGCATTGATTGATGATACTAAATCACTGAAAACTGGCCTATCATCAGGAGACTAAGACCAACAAGACATCATCAATGAGTAACTATATAAGGAAAAGCATTAACATTAATTGTAATTGCAACATAGTCAAAATCACATTAAATTAATAATAGTTAATGATTTCATACATTTCTTTTGAACATGCTCCATTATTTGGAGTGTGTAATCTTCCTCCAGTATCCAGTAACTCCACAACTCCTACTGGATCTAGACCAGGATAAGGTACTCTACCAAGACTGAACACTTCCCAACACAATATACCATAAGACCACTGTAAAGAACAGAATGTAACAATCTATATTGATAGGGCATATTATTTCTTGCAATTGTACTGACCACATCAGATTTTTCAGAGAACAGTCCATCATGAATACTCTCTAATGCCATTCATTTCAATGGTAGTTTAACTGTTGATGATGACGAATCTTTACTGCCTTTCAGTTGTCTGAAGTAGTTTTGAGAATATATATCTTCTGATAGACCAAAATCAGCTACCTTAATGATACCATCATCATCAATCCTATACAAAAAAAATAAAGTGCTATAGTCAGTGTAATATAGTAACTTTTAAAAATTCATGAAAAAAAATTAAATTTGATCAAAATCACCTCAAACTTGCTACACAATATAAGAACATGTATATGCATCTGAAAAGAAGCTGTGAGCACTATACCAAATCCTGTGAAAACCCTTGGCAGAGTGAGTGACATAATGAGCTTATATATTATAAATATGACTTACATGCAGTTTCTAGCAGCCAAATCACGATGAATGAATCTCTGTGAAGCTAAGTAGCACATTCCATTAGCACTGAACTTGTAAACAAATGGAGAGTAACTGTTTCCTGACATTCATTATAATATCCTCTTCACTGGTATCAGCTACTGTAAGATTAGGTCTCTCTTTCTTGAGGTAAGACAATAAACTTCCTCTTGACATGAAAGGCATGATAATGTATGGAGCTGGTCCAAGATCAAGACACACACCAATCAGTGGTAATACATTTAAATTATCAAATGACATCATTATAATGCACTCATCCAGTAGAGAATCAATATCACTCTTACTGTAAAAACCTGTAATAAACAAGTTTAAGCGTTATTTTAATACAGTATCTGATTCATCTGTAAATTTCATCTAAACGGTTACCTTTTAATGTTTTGACTGCAACTGGTTGTGGCATTTGATCCTCTCTTGTCATCACTCCACGATAAACTATACCAAACTCACCTTAAAGTGTACAAGAATGGTTGCAATTATCATTATGATCAATCAAAGCTTTACAACAAACCTTGTCCGACAGTCTCCTGCACACTGATGCTTGAGCCTGATATTATATAGCTTGACAACTGATTCATGTATTCAAATGATATCTCAAAAGTTTTTTTAGAGCTGTAGATATTTTTTTTGTTGCTTTCCAAGCCTAAAAATTGTTTATGATACATTACATAAAGGTAAATGATAGATAGTAATAAAAAAACTTGGTGTCAAAAATATTTGTCAGTTGACTTACGTAGTGAAGGATTAGTTTTAATGGGAAATTCCTTCTTCATAAGCTGTTTACGTTTCCTTGCCTTTTTAATGTAACAAGCAACAAGTAATACTATTGCCAACACTACCAGCAACAGTAATAAAACACTGAATATTCCTGGTATCAAAGTAGACACTAGTTGATTTGAGGCAGATGGTATGCCACTGGTAGGTATTGGAGGTGTGGAGATAGTTGTTTGGATAATTGTTGAATGTTGGACAGGTGTAGTGGATGTAGTGATGACTAATAAAAGTAATAAAATGTTATGAAATCAATAAATACTTTATATAGTAGACAATATTACAAACAACAACACATTTGATTTGCAGTCCCTAATTTGTATACATAGTCTAATAGTTTACCTTCTGTTGTTGTTATAGTTAGTTGAGGTACTTTAATGCCTCCATCAGAACAACAATCACTAGTGAGGTTCAAGTAATCAATCATTCCGTCTGTATTGTTACAAACTGGTATCTTAATCCCTTCATCATACCTAAACTCTAGCCAAACTTGATCCGACACAAGAAAATTATCAACATAAGACCAGATGTCAGGGCACAATGTTTCTGACATGTATGAGCAGACATTAGAGCATATGGGTAAAGGAACATGCAGTGTGCCATTAGAACCACAAGGCAAGTAATAATGAGTACACATTATTTTAATGGCAAAATCTTGACATCGTTCTGGCATTTGAAATATAAATGCATTTGCCTGTATAGCAAATAGTCTCAAAACTTGCTGTGAGCCTCTAAGACGTTTATGAGGAATATAAACATAATCAATATCAGGATCATATAAATGGTCACAGATAGAAGTGGAAGATCCTCCTTTGTAATATGCTTCACATCTCCCATTTGAACTACAATAAATTAAACACAATAGTTTTTAATAGCATGTATATTAGTTGACAGCATTATAAAATTAATAGATTAATAGAAATTGTATCATAATTATACGAGTAGACTAATTTTGTAACCAATTTTTAAGAGCTTTACCTCATTGCAGACCATAACTGATCATCCAATTCCGTATTGCAGAGGGCATTATCTTTAGTAAACAAACGTAACATCCAACAGCTATTACTACCAAGCAAACACTATACCTATTTTAAAGCATTGGACACTGACACCATTAGAACGACTACAATTATGAGATGATCCAATGGTTGAATGATTGCACTGCAGTATGTTGTCCTCTGATCCCAAACAAACAAAATCATTCAAAAATATTGACGTGTTTCCAGTATCATAATACTTTTCACTGAAATATTGAGCACCTATATATATTGTAAAGTGTCAAATCAGGCATACATTTACAGTACTATAAGTATCCTACCAATAGTAGAGTATCCTAGTTGCCTGCAGACTACCTCAACATTAGTGTGAGTCCATCCATCATCACACACAGTGCCCCATTCATTGTCAATACAAATCTCCAACCTTCCTATATTAGTCCTATTTCCATTCACTAATCGTAGGTCACCAAGCATACAACCTGTATAATAAAGAAAAGAAGCTGTCAGATTTTGCTCTAAGCCTGGTAGTTTACACCTTATAGATAGATTAGTCTCATTATAGATCTAATAGCTTACCATGAGCAAGTAGTGAATTCCAAGTTAAAATAGATAAAAGCAGAAGAAACATCGCAGTAGACTAGAAAAAGCAAAGTGTTTAGTCTAGTGACCACACCTCTATCAGTAATTATTGTAATTGTTGATAAATTCAAAGGGAATTAATGTTTCTGTCAGTCAAACTGGCAGTTTTTTTTTATTGTTACACACGTATGGCATGAATGAAGTTTGCGGCTCCCCCAACCAAATCATTCATAAAGAAATCAGTTGATCTTTAGCTGTACTACGTATTTTATAGCACTGTTTTGAATGATGAGAATTTTGCATAAGCTAAAGATTACTGATGGCCATTCACACCATTGACAGCATCAATGATAACAACATTTACCATCATGCTATATAAAGAGAGAGATATTCAGTTGGAATAAGTGTAGAATTTCAGTGAACATCAAAAAACAACCTACAGCTTCCAAAAGAATTTAAAGCTTGCTAAAAATGTTGTAGGAGTATATGATCACAGCAAAGTTATAACAATGCTAAACAAAAGTAAACTTCTTGGGGATACACAAGTGAAAACATACAAAACAACACTAAAATGTGTAAATACCAAAGCTATACAGGCATAGCTTATAACGTATATGCTCAATATTGTATACAGCCAACATAATGCAGCACAGCATGTAGGACAATCTTCTTTTGGTAATAAACTGACTATTAATAATAACATAACAATAATTCAATGTGTGTGACAATATATTAGCAATGAAGTAAAATATGCAGTACACATTAGAATATCAAGTATTAAATATCTGAAAATACCAAATCCAACTGTTTCTCAGGGACTAAAACTAATTTCATGACAAAGCCCATTTTAGTATCAGGTCCAGTTGTATACGATACATTGAAATTCTTTAATATTTTAGCAATTGCAATGTGTAGCTCCAACTCAGCAACTCTTCTGATATATTTTATCACCTGAGGAAGCTTTTTTATAGATAATCTGGAAGTGTGGCCCAATTTATGAATTAATTAAAACTGCTTTCTGCATTAAAAACTATATAATAATATAAAAATGATAAAACACACATATCCAATGGTATCACACTAATACACACACAAACAATGGTACACAGACATAAGCACACTTAAAAATGATAACACACATATATTAAACTTTGATATCATTTTCCACACAAGAATTAATGTCAGTGAAGTCCAGATAGCCAGCCAATGGTTCAATGAATGCATTGATTGATGATACTAAATCACTGAACACTGGCCTATCATCAGGAGATTCAGACCAACAAGATATCATCAATGAGTAACTATAATAAGGAAAAGCATTAACATTAATTTTAATTGCAACATAGTCAAAATCACATTAAATTAATAATAGTTAATGATTTCATACATTTCTTTTGAACATGCTCCATTATTTGGAGTGTGTAATCTTCCTCCAGTATCCAGTAACTCCACAACTCCTACTGGATCTAGACCAGGATAAGGTACTCTACCAAGACTGAACACTTCCCAACACAATACACCATAA